TGGGTTTATAAAGGGCAGATCATGATAAACTAATTGTGTACGGTAGAGAAGTGTGTAGATATCAGTATAGATATCAGTGTAGATCAGGGAGTTGCAATGAACTTAGTACCCTTAATTTTCACTAAATTATATCATTCTGCACAGGATATTACTGTACAAATGGAAACAGATCGGGGAAAGAGAAATACATAAATGTGGACTGAAAGCTGTCAGGGTTACCAAACGTAAGTAAACGGATCCCGAAATGCAGACATTGGAAGAAATATTAGCAGGCTTAACATGACAAGACTGATACCAGCTTAGGTTAGGATTCCAGAGAATACGTAAGTTAGACTGATGAAGGTGAGCAATCAAGGATGGCCAGTAAACAAAGCTGGGTCAGGAAAAAAGAAAACAGGAACTTGAGAAGGGTAGTCAAAGTCAGGACGAGCACACCACCAAGCAGGCAAGGACCATGAAATGGGAGTGGACCAAAAGAAGGCCAAGAGTTATAGAAGCCTAGGCCTAGTGTGTCAAAAACAGTGAAAAGACATGCGAGCCAGGTGTCCAGCAACAAACAGGATGATGATGCAAAAATAGCATGGAATGCACAGTGTATCTGACAAAAAAAACTAACTTAAATGTAAAGTAAAGAGAATATTTGGTCATAATTCTTAAATTACTAAAAAGAAGGGAGAACACCCCAGGGGTCCATTGTGGGTTAGCATTGCTTTAAAATGCTTATTAATCATGTTTCAATGAGAATTGAAATCATGGGGGGAAAACGTAGGGTGATGAAGAGAACAGATTACCATAGATCATTTTTGATGGGGAGATAGGAGAAAAACAGACTTCAAGTCACGGTGGTCTAACTCGTAAGATTAGATTTTCACTGTTCAACCAAGATTTAAAAAAAAAACATAGTTCCTCTTCAAAAACCTTGAAAATTTACCAAGGAGATGCAAAAATTATAAAAGAATTCTGTAGCATACTTTGTGATAGGGTGAGATCAAAGGATAAGGTCAGGTTAAATTGTGAAATCTGTAGTCATTCATCCTAAATTATTCTCTATCAAACAGAATAAATAAATAAAACTTGAGCTCATGGTTTGTACTCAAAACAAAAAAACATCACCACTGTGGGTCCGGTAGCTGGGGCGGGGGAGGCAGGTAAAGGTGAGTTTACTTACCTGAACCTGTTCCTCGAGGGCACCACCATCTTGATCTGGTGGGGTCCTCTTCGGCACCAAAGTCCTTGCTGTACTCTCGCACATGCACTAGAGTACAGCATTGAGATATATGTAGGATCCTGCAGGATCCTCCATAGACAGAGCCACTTGCCTACAGCCATCACTAGTGAGGGCTGCAGGGATTGATTCTTAGACTTTGCCTTGTGTCAAAGAAAATCCCAAAGAATTCCCTACTTTGTCAATGTATATCTTTTCAATGGGCTGAAATGTCAGTGAAATTCCATCTACTTTTTAAGTACTCTAGGCAGGTAACACATTTGCATAGTAAGTGTAAGTATAGTTGTGTCCCACTTGGGTATCCTATATGGATGATTGAGAATGGCATGTTACTTTTGGCAAATGACACAAAGTAAGATGACATAACACAGTCTGAAAGTGCAAACGTTTAGCTAAATTAAGAGCCTTGGCAGGAGGCAGTGATGGGTTTAGATACAATGCAAATTAATGCAATGTTATGGATTTTGTGAAATAAAATAAGTCTAAATGGTATGCTGCAATTAATGTTGAATTAGAGAAATCCTTAAAAAGGAAAAATTGTATTGCAAAAGACACCTATAAATATCAATATTTATGGTAATATCATTTGATCTCTTTATCTCTTCTGGTTGGACCTCACCTAGAAAATATTTAGCAATGTCTAATTATATTTTCATTACACCCACCGTATTTTACATAGCGGTATTTGTGAGTTAAAACCACATTTCAGAACATGTACACCAATTATTGGAAGATTAGGGAAACTTTATATCTCTGTACAGAGGTACATGCAGCAAAACTGCTACATCGCTTAATAGTCATAAGTCACTATTTTCCCTTTAAGAATGAAGCATTTGTTAGGATTTCTTTTTACCAGTTCATAAGAATCTGATACTTCGTAAAATAAAGATTAAACGTATGGTAACACCTTATAATTACATGTAGACAGTTGCAATTTGCAGATACATGTCCATAATCTTTAGATAAATAAGAGGAATTTCAGTTTATCATCACAGATGATTTAAAATAGATGGTAAAACACACCCTATGTAAAGGAATGACAATAATTCCATTAACAATACACTTTAGCTATTCAACTGAAGATGGTATAGTGTAGGAAAACAAACAGAGAAAACATTATTTTAAAATATCCTTTACTGTGAGCCCAAATATTCACCTGTTTATAACAATGCACATATGTTTGGATTATAGGCCTCAGTGCAGTCTGGAAAAGTACTGTGAACGATTAAATGCCGTCTTGGCTGAAATAATTGCTTGCAGGTCAAACATATCCAATTTTTCATTGTTCTTGAAATGGTTGTCTGTGTCAGAGACAATAACAGAGGGTAACAAAAATAAAAATGTCCTGATATTATTTTCACAACTCTGATTAACGATGTGCTGGTTTAAAGCTAATTGATAATTAATTGTGTTGAAAAGCAGTCACCGGTTTAATGATCTATTTGGGATGTTCTTGAACCCAGAGAAATGACATTTCAAGGAGAAAAATTAATAGTTTTATCATGAGATATATTACAAAACACAGATACATTAAGAGATTAAATTACTATGTTATTAACTGATGATGTGGCGAGGAGTCTTAAATTACAGAATCAAATGATCACGGGTTAAGTAGTATATCAAGTAAATAAAGTATCCATTATAGCAGGAACAGATACGCGATGTCAATATCCATGAAATAGTGTATAATTGCACAACTGAACAGGCACACATTTTGCTTCACACTTTCATTTGTGTGATTGTTATCTCATAATAAATAAAATTGAGGTTCTAATCAATTTTCACTGAGTTTTTTTTTTAATAATTAAAAATGGAATTGAAATGAAATTATACAATGCACTGAAGGAAGAGTAAGACGAACTTGATAAAGTGTTGTAAAACACGAAACGCGTAAGTTATCAAGATCTGTCTTGTGGGAGAGTGTTTTTTTACTGTATGTCCAATGCAATTTCCATTAGAAGAGTATCACTTAATATTTTTTTTAAGGAACGGGCAATGAACAGGATCTTTTTGCAAGCCACTTGCTGTTGTTTTTTGGAAGAGCTAGGGAGTTAATAACATGTTTTTTTTTGTTCGGAAGAACTGTCAGGTCCAGTGTGTTCCACTTTTTCTCTTCTAATGTACCTTTTTTATGAGCTCAATATTTTTGTTATGACTGAGTGTATAATGGAGCTTCACAGCAGTATCTTTAAAAAGGACACTATAAGTAATATAGCCATTTCATTATTGCTGGGGACTCTTGTTTAGCATTTAAACATTAAAAATGGTTTAATGCTGAATGCAAGGATGATGCCAAAAGACTACAGATACTATAACTACTTCAATGTAATAAAGCAGTAACAGCGCCTACGGTGTCCATTTAAAATAATATATATTTAAACTGCAATCAATTTGTTTAGAGAATAGTCTATTTTAAAAAATACACTTTGGTCTTACAATAAATTAAGTTTGTAATGGCTCTCACTAGGTTGTGAAGTCACATTATCCTGCAATTATCAACTCCTGGCCACGTTGCCATCCATAACCCCTACAACGTAAATTACCCATTTAGATCGTTAGGAGCCTGGTAGGCATGGCTGGATTAAGAGCCCATTGCTTACAATTATGATGGGCCTCGTGCTTACAATTATGATGGGCCTAATTACAAAATCTTATCGATAGAAAACACAAAAACAGCTATACCTCCCAAGCATCATGCATCTGGTGGAGGTGGTGCTGGATGGAAACTCACAGGATAGCAGGATATATCAGAAAACACATACCCTTTGCTAATCTCTCGCTTTCATCTTTCAAGTAAATCCATACCCCCTAACAGCAGTGTCCAGTGAAGCAGGATTTCGGTGGATGGGGTGCAAGGGTGGGCCACTGACGTGAATCATGTAATCAGAATGGAGGGCATGTCTGCATGAAGAATTAGATGGTCAGCCTGGTGTGAATACACGTCAGACTGCCTGCCAATCATGCAGGATGACCAACCAAGGGCATACTGTGCAGACAGCACCCTGTGCTTGGCATAAATGTGTCTAATGACGCGCTAGCTCTATACTTTCTAAGGACTGTCCACTAGATCTCACTGGTCTTCTCCTCTCCGAACCTTCTTACTAGCAGGCAGAAGCTCTGGGACAGAGAAAAAGTGTAGTGAGTGTAGAACAAGGGTTCCCAATTATTTTTTCCCGTGGAACCCTTTGACACAGTATACCAACATCGTATAACCCTCAAAAAACATTTGAGCCGTCTTGTCCCTTCCTAACCTGCAACACATGTTTAAAGAGGGAGTGAGGAAAAGGTGGCTTAGAAGAAAAGAGGACAGCATTTGCTCAAACTTCAAGTCCATTATTAGATGGTTACAATTCAGCCAAATTAAATGATTTGCCACTAAAGTCATACCTTCTATTTATATTCACATATTTCAAAAGAATGCTGGAAGCATGGGTCCTGCTAGTAGGAACTTACCTAAGACCCCGAGTAGGTTCCTGAAAAATAAAAATCAGTCTGATTTAGTCACCCTTTCATTGTTATCCTTTAGCCGCCTGTAGAAATAAAAGTTTTTTACACTTTTTGAAAGTGCCACGTTAGGGCAAATTTTTCCCTGGAGAACATTGCCCAGAGCACGACACTGCCTCCGGTGGCCTGCTTTCTTCCCATCGTTCATTCTGCTGCCAACTCTTCCCCAGTTAAACGATGTACTTGCACCTGCTATCCACCTGATCTAAAAACCACATGATATTGTATTAAATTACATTTTAGTTGCATAAATTGCCACTAGTAAGTCACCTAAACTTTGTCAGAACTTCCAAGCCCCTAGTCACACCCTCTCCCTCCCCCCACACATCTCCCCAAAAATACACATCTATTTTTGGGGAGATGTGTGGGGGGAGGGAGAGGGTGTGACTAGGGGCTTGGAAGTTCTGACAAAGTTTAGGTGACTTACTAGTGGCACTGACTTACTAGTGGCAATTTATGCAACTAAAATGTAATTTAATACAATATCATGTGGTTTTTAGATCAGGTGGATAGCAGGTGCAAGTACATCCTTTAACTGGGGAAGAGTTGGCAGCAGAATGAACGATGGGAAGAAAGCAGGCCACCGGAGGCAGTGTCGTGCTCTGGGCAATGTTCTCCAGGGAAACCTTGTTCATGTTACTTTGACACCTTCCACCTACCTAGAGAATGTTACAGTCTGCGTACATCCATGCAATCAACTAGTGGGGATACTAAACTAAATTACTAGTTTGGAGGAACATGACACTCCCATCTCTAAATACCCCGGTAGATTGCCTGAAAAGCCTGAAAACTTTGAGGCTTTGACCAGATGGATCGTCTGCAAATTATAAGACTATGATCTAAACTCTGCACCTTCTTTATTACTGTTAACCTATCAATGTGCTGTATAAATCCTGCACCCTAGTAATTAACTCTGAATTTGCTGCATTAAACCTGCATGCACTACCAACCTACACCCGACACTATGTGGTATTCTTAACTAAAAATTTGCCCTAACGTGGCACTTTCAAAAAGTGTAAAAAACTTTTATTTCTACAGGCGGCTAAAGGATAACAATGAAAGGGTGACTAAATCAGACTGATTTTTATTTTTCAGGAACCTACTCGGGGTCTTAGGTAAGTTCCTACTAGCAGGACCCATGCTTCCAGCATTCTTTTGAAATATGTGAATATAAATAGAAGGTATGACTTTAGTGGCAAATCATTTAATTTGGCTGAATTGTAACCATCTAATAATGGACTTGAAGTTTGAGCAAATGCTGTCCTCTTTTCTTCTAAGCCACCTTTTCCTCACTCCCTCTTTAAACATGTGTTGCAGGTTAGGAAGGGACAAGACGGCTCAAATGTTTTTTGAGGGTTATACGATGTTGGTATACTGTGTCAAAGGGTTCCACGGGAAAAAATAATTGGGAACCCTTGTTCTACACTCACTACACTTTTTCTCTGTCCCAGAGCTTCTGCCTGCTAGTAAGAAGGTTCGGAGAGGAGAAGACCAGTGAGATCTAGTGGACAGTCCTTAGAAAGTATAGAGCTAGCGCGTCATTAGACACATTTATGCCAAGCACAGGGTGCTGTCTGCACAGTATGCCCTTGGTTGGTCATCCTGCATGATTGGCAGGCAGTCTGACGTGTATTCACACCAGGCTGACCATCTAATTCTTCATGCAGACATGCCCTCCATTCTGATTACATGATTCACGTCAGTGGCCCACCCTTGCACCCCATCCACCGAAATCCTGCTTCACTGGACACTGCTGTTAGGGGGTATGGATTTACTTGAAAGATGAAAGCGAGAGATTAGCAAAGGGTATGTGTTTTCTGATATATCCTGCTATCCTGTGAGTTTCCATCCAGCACCACCTCCACCAGATGCATGATGCTTGGGAGGTATAGCTGTTTTTGTGTTTTCTATCGATAAGATTTTGTAATTAGGCCCATCATAATTGTAAGCACGAGGCCCATCATAATTGTAAGCAATGGGCTCTTAATCCAGCCATGCCTACCAGGCTCCTAACGATCTAAATGGGTAATTTACGTTGTAGGGGTTATGGATGGCAACGTGGCCAGGAGTTGATAATTGCACGACACTGCCTCCGGTGGCCTGCTTTCTTCCCATCGTTCATTCTGCTGCCAACTCTTCCCCAGTTAAAGGATGTACTTGCACCTGCTATCCACCTGATCTAAAAACCACATGATATTGTATTAAATTACATTTTAGTTGCATAAATTGCCACTAGTAAGTCAGTGCCACTAGTAAGTCACCTAAACTTTGTCAGAACTTCCAAGCCCCTAGTCACACCCTCTCCCTCCCCCCACACATCTCCCCAAAAATAGATGTGTATTTTTGGGGAGATGTGTGGGGGGAGGGAGAGGGTGTGACTAGGGGCTTGGAAGTTCTGACAAAGTTTAGGTGACTTACTAGTGGCAATTTATGCAACTAAAATGTAATTTAATACAATATCATGTGGTTTTTAGATCAGGTGGATAGCAGGTGCAAGTACATCCTTTAACTGGGGAAGAGTTGGCAGCAGAATGAACGATGGGAAGAAAGCAGGCCACCGGAGGCAGTGTCGTGCTCTGGGCAATGTTCTCCAGGGAAACCTTGTTCATGTTACTTTGACACCTTCCACCTACCTAGAGAATGTTACAGTCTGCGTACATCCATGCAATCAACTAGTGGGGATACTAAACTAAATTACTAGTTTGGAGGAACATGACACTCCCATCTCTAAATACCCCGGTAGATTGCCTGAAAAGCCTGAAAACTTTGAGGCTTTGACCAGATGGATCGTCTGCAAATTATAAGACTATGATCTAAACTCTGCACCTTCTTTATTACTGTTAACCTATCAATGTGCTGTATAAATCCTGCACCCTAGTAATTAACTCTGAATTTGCTGCATTAAACCTGCATGCACTACCAACCTACACCCGACACTATGTGGTATTCTTAACTAAAAATTTGCCCTAACGTGGCACTTTCAAAAAGTGTAAAAAACTTTTATTTCTACAGGCGGCTAAAGTTGAAATGTTGAAATGTTGAAATGTTGAAAGCTTTTAGTTAAAGTTTAGGGTTGGGCGTAGAGCATGGGTTCCCAATAATTTTTTCCTGTGGACCCCCTTTGACATAGTGTTTCAACATCGTGGACCCGCTCCCCCCTTCTTTTGTATGTGTGTCAAGGTGTGTATATCTGTGCTTGTACAAACAGATACACACACACTGGTACCACTGGCGGATCCAGGGGGGGGGCAACGGGGCAATTGCCCCCCCTGAGAAATCCGCCTCTCTCCCTCTCCCCTGCCAGGACATGGAGGTGCTAGCCCTGCAATGTGCCTGCGGACCGGAGGGGAGATCGGAGATCTCCCTCCCCGGTCCGCAGGCACATTGCTGACAGCCGGCAGGGGAGGGAGAGGGAGGACCCGGGAGCTCAGTCTGCAGCTCCTCCGGGTCCTCCTCTCGCGAGATTTGGAGCGTTGGCAACGCTCCAAATCTCGCGAGAGTGAACTCTAGCCCGGGAGCGCGGGCTAGAGTTCACTGTAACCACTGGGACCACCAGGGAATCACCACTGGGACCACCAGGGATGAAAATATGTCCCCCCTCCTCCTCAATAAAGGTAAGAAGGGAGGGGGGACATAGGATATTGTTTTTTTTAAATTAAATAAAGATATATATTAAAAAAAAGCCCCCCCTACCCTTAACACACACACACACACATAGCCCCCATACACACATGCTGCCCCCCCATACACACATGCTGCCCCCCCATACACACATACTGCCCCCATGCTGCCCCCCCATACACACATGCTGCCCCCCCATACACACATACTGCCCTCATACACACATACTGCCCCCCATACACTGCCGCCCCATACACACACATTGCTCACATTCACACACACACTGCAACTGTTACACACACATACTGTCCCACACATACACTGCATCCCTGACATACACTGCCCCCCCTACTCACACACTACAACCTTCACACACACACACACACTGCTCACACACTGTCCCCCTCACACACACACACACACACTGCACCCCTTTCACATTGCACCACACACACACCACTGCTCCTATGCCCTACTACCGCCCCATTTCCCAGCAGACCTCAGGTAAGTTGTCAAACTGTTCTTAAACGGTTTGACTACTTACTAGGAGGGGGTCCCTGCACTATTGACACCATAACCACTACACTGAGCTGTAGTAGTTATTGTGTCTGGATTATTTCTTTAAATAATCTACAAGTGCCCCTCCCGAGATCAGGCTCTGGATCCGCCACTGACTGGTACATAGTGGCACACAGATACACACACCTTGACACACAGTGTGTATCTGTATGTGTGTGTATGTATGTATGTATGTAGCTATCTGTGTGCCAAGTTGTGTGTATCTGTGTGTCAAAGTGTGTGTATCTGTGTTTGTATGTGTCTGTGTATCAAGGTGTGTGTATCTGTGTTTGTATGTGCCGGTGTGACCCACAGATACACACACACACTGACACAGATACACACACCTTAACACACAGTGTGCATCTGTGTGTGTGTGTATCTGTGTGTCAAGGTGTGTGTACCTATGTTTCAAAGTGTGTGTATCTGTGTTTGTATGTGCCAGTGTGTGTCAAGGTGTGTATATCTGTGTTTGTATGTGCCAGTATGTGTATCTCTGTGTCAGTGTGTATCTGACACACAGATACACACACACACACACTGGCACATAGTGGCACACAGATACACACTGACACACACCTTGACACACTCATTCACACACTGACACACACATATTGACTCAAAAATACACACACACACTCAGATACAGACAGTAACATATACACGCACTTGCACCCACAGATACACACTGGCACATACACACACTGACACACTCAGATACACACACACACAGGCTCATACAAACACACTGATACACACTGGCACACACACACACACACTTAGATACACACAGTAACACATACACAAACCATGACACACAGATATACACACTGACACACTCAGACACACATACTCTTTGACAGTCACACATACACTCTCACTAACAAACACACATACTCTTTGACAGACACACATACACTCTCACTGACAAACACACATACACATTCTCACTGACAAGAACAGCTACATTCTCACTGACAAACACATACACTCTCACACACTCACTGACAAGCACACATCCACTCTCACTGACAAACATACATATACTCTTTGACAGACACACAAACACATACAAACTCCCTAACAGACACACATACAATTTTTTATTTTTTTTTACATTTTACTTCACTCAGCCCCCTTACCTTTAGGAGTGCTGGCATGGAGTCCCTGGGGTCCAGTGGTGCTGCTGAGCGGCTGGCGTGTGGGCGGCAAGGGAGCAGTGATCTCCCTGATCAG